TACCTGAGACTCGAAATTCTATTGAAACTAGATAAACTCCATAAAAGAGCGAGCTTCAGTAGATATTTATCTCAAAATGCATTATTACAAAAGTCTGTATGGACATAACCGTCGCAACAGATGCACGAACATTGACTCGGATTCCGACAGCTCGGATCCCGACAGCTCGATCCCACGCTTATGGAACACCATAGACCAAAAAACTATTACTATTAAGTAGTAAAACAATCGAACTACGTTAAGGCTTGATCCCCCGACGGGGTATGTAGGTAGCTCACCGTCGAGTTCAGCCACCACTTTTTTCAAACAATTTCATTTATATGACTTGTATCTTGTGTCCTAAAATTTCGTATACCAAGTTATATCCAACGAGCTATCCCAACAAAAGCTCGACAAACCAAAGTTCACCACCAAGTAGTCGAACTGTCGCGAACAAACAAACACTACATAAAGATCTCTTAAAACGATCCTTTATATCGAACTCGGATCATCATACAATCCTCCAAAATGTCTGGCCAGACTAACCTAAATGAGTTCGTCAGTTCGCACAACCTTAGTTCGTCTCAAATCCGAACTACCGCATATGCAAACATTTGCTCGCGGTCAAAAGGATTTAGTCAAAAACCTAATCCTCAAACTATCGTTCGCACCTAAACGAACAACCGCATAAGCAAATATCTGCTCGCGGACAAAAATATTAGTCTAAAAACTTATCCTCAATTTAAACTTCTTCTCTGTCTTCCGCCTATCGAGCTCATCACTTTACTCAATAGGCTGGGGGGCTACTATTGGAGCTAGATTTATCACCTAAATCTGGCCCATATTAAGGCCTAACAAAGGCCCATTTGAAGTCTTTTGTCAAAGCCCATTTATCTTGATGTTCAGCCATAGTTCGCAACAAGACGACGAGCTGCCGTCGCTACTGATGATTTGGTCAAAGTAGTTCGAAGAGATCCCACAAAATCAGGAGCTCGTGTGCTGAAGATCCCCGATATCCACGCAGCAGTTTAAAGTTGGACAGCGAAGCATGAACCATACAAAAAACTTATCTTTCACTCATCTTTTACTCGTTCTAATCCTCTTACGAGCTATCGCATTACGAATTCTATTTGTAAACATTTTTCTCATCAATATAAATCCATTTGGTTGATCTAAGTCTTATTCTTGTTTGGTTCATTGTGAGATTCTTACCTACTTCTTTTTCATCTATTCATTCACTCTAAATACTTGAGTGTGGGATTTGTGTCCCACAACAATCACATATTTTTATTTTTATTTTGGTTATTGGTACGCAAGTCCTCTTACCAAATATACAAACACTTGAGGGTTCATATGTACTCTCTAACATTGATTTACGAACTGTTAATGTCTAACTACTAAATAATTAAGATATTGCTTCATAATTTGGTGTGGGTACTGAACTGTATTCCTGTAAGAGGATGCTCAAGTTCGATGGTTGATAGTATTAACAATATTACAGTGTACTTCAGGCCTCTCTATTAAAAAACACATACTACAAGATAAAAATCAAAGTGATGACAGATATGTTTTCCTAAATTTAATAAGTTTCAAATCTTAAAAAGTGATATACAGAGAAAATAAACTTATAGTTACAAGACAATATGCAAGGTATATGCTGAGACTCTTTTTCTTTATTTTTTCATGTTTTTTTGTTATATCATAATAAGCTATTTAAACTTTTACCACTATGTTTCAAATGAAAAACAAACACGTAGACCTAGATTGAACTGTAAATATAACAAGGCTGCAAATTTGAATCATTTGTTGCATATGTTTTACTTTACTGTTCTTACAATCTCAAAGAAAAAAATTAAAAACATATTCAAGACAGCTTTAAACAACAGTACTTTGTATAAACTTGAAAGAATTATGAGGATAGAGGTGTTTGAAGAAGTAGCAGGAGGTGGTGTCCTAGAGAGGGTCAAGACTGGTAAATAAGTCTAAAGATTTTTTCTTTCGTATTCTTCGATAACTACCTCAAGTTCATATACTCTTTCGCCAATTGTAACATAAAACAAGTAATTTGTGTATAATGGTCTATTACTCTTTTTCATTACAAAAAAAAAGTATCTTCTTTTGATGAGTGTGTATTCATGTGTAAAAGGTATTTTCCCGCAGTTGCAAATTCATGTACTTATTCAATTATTCCTTTGTGTGTGTTCATTTTCTGGCTAATTTCATTCTTATGAATTTCATCGTACAATGCTATTCAAATATAAAAAATACTAATTTATATTTTAACATGATAAAATATACGAATTATTTTTGTATATAATAAATATATCATTGTTTAGATTCATAAAATTATATAAAAAATAAAATCACCATTCTAACTTTTTAAGATAAATGCCCGGGCGTAGCCCGGGATATCCCCTAGTCTTTACTAAATGATAGCAGCTGTTTGAGGCCTTTGAGGGCATCTCACAGTCAGAATGCCATGTGGCATATTACATTTAAAAAAAAAAAAAACTCTTATGTTTAAAAACGAATTTCATCCGAACCATCTCTCCCGAGCCCATGGCCCACAAAGTGAATCCCTTCAATCGTCACCCTTATTCTCGCGGCCGTCTTCTTCTTACATATCGATTCATCCTCTCCCGTCTTCTTCTTCCTCCAACTCTTCTTCTTCCAGGATTTGATTCGATACATTTCTCAGTTCTCTTCAAACGTTTCAGGTCAAGGTTGTTGACTTACTCAATCAGGTATCACCGTCTTCTTCTTCCCACTTCTTTTTTGTTCTCTTTTTTAAAAAAAAAATTCTGCAAATTTCGACTCAATATGATTGAATCGGTTATGGTTTATCTGTGCTATCATTTTTCTTCTCGGTGCCTTCGCGATAACGCTCGACGGTTCCGATTTCTGGTTCATCACCATCATTCTCCTAATCGAAGAAGCTCGAATCTTCATCAGAAGCCACGAGCATGAATGGCAGCACCAAGCCACGTGGACCGTCGCCGGCGTCGGACTCAGCAGCTTTCGCGCTCTCCGATCAAGCTCCGCTTCACTTCCGCTTCGCTTCACTTCAGCTTTGCAATTTTTGGATTAGGTACCTTTGGTTGTGAATTTCGGGATTGTTAATAGTTTCGGAAATTTTTGAAGATCATTTCTGCCGTTGATTTTGATATTCTCTTTGTGAATCAAGCAGTGAAGATCAAATCATGGCCTCTCGAATTGCTAACAATGTGGCGGAAGTAAGCTCTCCAATTCTTACACTATTCATTTTCAAAAGTGTTGATTTTTGTTACATGCTCATGTATTTATTGATCTTATTTGTTTATTTTTGACTCAGTTGATTGGTAACACTCCATTGGTGTACCTGAACAATGTTCACTGAAGGATGTGTTGGTCGTGTTGCTGCTAAGCTCGAGATGATGGAGCCATGCTCCAGCGTCAAAGACAGGTTTCTGCTTTTCGTTCATAAAACTCTGCAGTTTCTTTTTCGTTTTTGAGTTTCAGTTTTGTGAAAAGCTTGTGTTTTGCTTCTTTTTGCAGGATTGGATTTAGTATGATTAATGATGCAGAGAAAAAGGGTCTTACAAAGCCAGGAGAGGTCAGTTTTGATATCTGATTCTTATTTTGGAGGTTTCCTTTTATGTTTGTTTTCTGACTTTTTTTTTAGTTTGTTCTCTTGTAGAGTGTGTTGATTGAGCCAACAAGTGGAAACACCGGAGTTGGGTTAGCATTCACGGCGGCTGCAAAAGGATACAAGCTTATTATCACAATGCCAGCTTCAATGAGTGTAGAGAGAAGACTCATTCTCTTAGCTTTTGGTGTTCAGTTGATTTTGACTGACCCTGCATGAAAGGCGCTATCGCAAAGGCTCCTCTTTTGGCGAAAACACCGAATGGTTACATGCTCCAACATTTTAATAACCCTGCCAACCCAAAGGTATGCTTATTAGTTTTTACTTTTTAGTAGCGCTGGAGTGAATTTGTTTCTGTCAGTTATTGAAATGTGACTGTGACAATGCAGATCCACTATGAGACTACTGGACCTGAGATATGGAAAGGCACTGGTGGTAAAATTGACAGCTTTGTCTCTGGGATTGGTACTGGTGGTACCATAACAGGTGCAGGAAAGTATCTTAAGGAACAAAACCTGAGCGTAAAGGTGAGAGAGCTCTCTATCTTTTGGCATACAAATTGGCTTTCTTATGATACTCTTAAGACTTATTCCGAAATTTAAGCAGTGTGACTTTGCAAGGGCTTATTTTGTTTTCTCTTTTGTCAGCTGTATGGAGTGGAGCCAGTTGAAAGTACTATTCTCTCCGGTGGCAAGCCAGGTGATTTGATCTCCCCCTCTGTTAATTACTTATAATCATTCATGATCTCTTCAACCTGTGAATAAGGTTTGATGAATCTTCACTCTCCATGATTTGAGAACTTTTTCAACATTTGAGCTTTGCTTGATCATCCAAAATATATATCAGTACGACAGAGTAGCATTGCTACCTTCTGATATGGGTCTGAAGCTGAATAGACAACCTACATAGTTTTTCTGCTAGACTCTTGCAGCAAGTGACACGAGTACTCACGGTGGTTTCTTTGTAACCCGTCGTGCAGCTGAGAAAATATTCCCTCCTACATGGACATTCAGACATATCATTCAAACATTGTTGTCTTTTCCGGTCTATTAGGATAATGCGCACTCAGCCGCCTGAATTTGGTCAAGATGATGATTTAAGATCATATCATTTTTCTATGGACTATTCTTATATTCAAGTTATGATGCCGAACTGTTCACTCTCTCAAAGCTACTTGCTGCGAATGCCGGACACTTGGATAGCCCTCCTTGATTATTACATATTATGTGTATGTATAACTTCTAATGTTCAGGCAGTAGATAACTAAAGTACACAAAATGGTTACATCACCTCATCAGAGTATATATATATCTTAACATGTTCTTTCAAATCTCCTATGAAGCTTAAAATCTTGACCAATTTTAGTAAAACAATAGCAAAGCTGGAGCTAGATTGGACTCATTGGCGAGAACTTATGACTTTAAAAAATGTCATATTCCGCTTATAACTTTTGTTTTTCCCAAAGATTTACAAAAATGGTTAAAGACGATGCTGGCCTGGAACGAGAGAAGTTATAGTTACCGCAAATCTTTTCAAATGAAGTAGAGAACATATTCTGAGGAAGCAGAAGGATTGTCTAAAACATGTGCTCACTCACATGAATTATAAAAAAAAATCATTTTATAACAAATCAAGCTCTTAGTCAGAAAAAACTAATTAACAATAATTTACTTTTTTATTCGATGAACATAAGAACATATAATGTTTTAGACCAATTAAACTACAGTTATGTGGTTTTCAAAGTAAAACAGAAACAAATTTATATATATTTTACCCGGGCGTAGCCCGTGGCGTCCCCTAGTTTATCATATATAAGATAAAAAGTTGTATAGGGTTTCAATGTAATCTATCGTAGAGTTATATATTTTTTTTACCTCTTCATCAGTGAGAATAATCTCTAATCTTTTAGCTGAAATTTTGTACTCGTCAATCCATAAACGCAAAACCTTCACCAAAATACCAGATTCGTGTGTCCTTGGCCCAAGTTCTGAAACGGTATATCTCTTCCTTAACACCTTATTATATGTAATAACCATTTTGTAGGTACCTGATTCAAGAAAGTTTATAAAATATTATTACAAAATCGGCTCTTATAAGAACTAATACGATGGATCTAAAATAAAAAACGAAGATCTTTTTAGATAAGCTTATTCGAATTAGGGTTTCACGAGATTTAAATTGAAAATAAAAAGGAAAGATGTACATACCCTTATTTTTTTTGCAAAGAACTGTTTTGAGTTGGTAACATTTTGATCTTGTTGATTCCGTTAGTTAACAAAGTAGGAATTTACTGATACAAAGGTAAAAGAAATAGAAGTTAGATGTGAATCTTTGTATAAAATTTGCAGAAAATAATGATAATCAGTTAACATTATGGCTTTGATTGGTGACATGTGGTATCATGTGGTAAGTTTGATTAATGGTCATAACTCAAAAATGTTACCAATCATGATTTATTTTTATTTTTTTGCTGTTAGAATGTGGTATTAGAATTTTGATGTATCTCTTTTGTAAATTAGATAACTGAACTCAAATTTTTACAACATAGAAAATGGCATGTAGTAAGGTTTGATTTAGCAGTTTTTCTTTTTTCTCTTTTTGTTTCCACGTTTTTTTTAATTATTATTTTTTCTTTTTGCTTTTTTTTTTTGTTAAATTCCACAGCAAACTTACCACATAATTTTTACATCAAACTTACCATTTTTTTTAATTCAACTATGATACCACATATCACTAATCAAAGCCTATATCTAAGAGAAATTTTAAGAAATACTTCTCTTGGGGTGCAAATTTTCAAAACTACACCTATAGTGTGGAAATTTTCAAAAATATACTTTTTTCTAATTTTAATATATATGTTTGGGTTCACTGATCCTAGATTAGGGTTTAGATTTTGGGGTTTAGGATTTACATTTAAGGGTTCAATGTTAGATTTTAGAGTTTTGGGTTAATATTTTAGGGTTTAGAGTTCTTTTACTCAATGAAAAAAGTGTAGTTTTGAATATAAACACTATAGAGGTGTATTTTTGAAAATTGGCACCTCAAGAGGTGTAGTTTTGAAATTTCCCCTAGATCTAATACAACTAAGATCTAGCAAAAACTATAAACATGACAAAAGATGAAATATGGAATCAAAGAATTTAAAGCAAGACGAAAAAGAAGAATCGAAGTTTTATAAATTTTGCTTGTTACAATTCTATTTATATAGGACAAAGTCGGTTTAAAAATCTATGTTTTTTTTTAAAAAACCTAATTATTTTATTTCTTCAAAAACTGTGACACGGTAATATGGTAGTTATGAAATTTATTATAAAATATTTAAGTGATAAATATAAATAGAGGAAAAAAGAAGGAAATTTTCAATATTTAATAAGGAAATTATGAATATTAAAAAAAAAATAGTGAATTAATAAAAAAGGAAATTCAGAAGATTTAATCTATATTTTCATTAAGGGTAAGTGGGTAATCAACCAGCTGAGATTGAACGTGGTGGTTGGAAGCAAATAATAGTATGATTAATGAACTATCTTAATTAAATATTTTTTTTTTTTAAATATATATTTATAATTTTATGATAAGTGAGAATAATTATAGTTAATGTAGTATAGTGGTTGTTGGATTTTTTCTATACAAGCATATTAATTTCGATTTTAAATGAAACCAACTTATAAAACAGAATTTTTTAATCCCTAAATAGATAAATTTCATCAATTTTTTTCTAAAGAAAAACTGAACCCCGCGATATCGCGGGAAAATCACCTAGTCTATATATATAAAGTTTATGTTATTTTATTCTAGTGCTGCCACATCAGCGAAGAAGACTGCTTCTAAATTCTCCAAATCGCCACGTCAGCATTGTATCTCTTAATTTGAATTTATTATATTTTTTCTTCTTATTTTTTAATTCTTTATGATCATTCATTAATATAATCATTAAATAATTCAATAGTTTTAGCAAGAATTTAAAAAGTCATTTTTATAAAAGAAAATAAATATTATGTATAGATCTTAAAAAACTATTATTTAATAATTATAATAATAAAAATATATTATACAAAGAACACTGTTTTTTCTATAATATTTTGGGATGAAAAGAGACGAGATTGAATGTAACGAGACAAAAAAATAGAATCGGAGAAGAGAGGAATTTTGTATACTTCTTATGATATTAAGTGACGAGACGAGATCTAAAAGAACAGAAAAAACGGAATAGGACAAGACGGAAATTTCGCCTACCTAGTTGATGCAGCGAGATATTTGGAATATCTCCAAATATCTTCATTATTTCTATTTTCTGTATTTAGATAAATAAGTATTATTTACATTTATTATTATTTATGGCTTTTAGGGTTTTTGAGGTTTTCTTATATATAGGCGTCTAGGCTTCATATCGTATTGAGACATTGATTATTAGTAAAGAGCTTTGGCTTTTAAGAAAAGAGTATTCTCTGTCCTTGTTTTCGGTAGATCTATCGAGATCTCAACGAGTTCAAGAAGCAGGTCATAAGTGAGGATTATATCAAATCCCTTGGTTGAGCTGGCAAGTCCCGATTGATTCCTTTGAATCATAGGTTGAGCTGTGTTTATCTTAGCTTCCGCTACTCAGTTGGTATCAGAGTCGCGTCTCTTTGATTTCTCAATCAGAGATCGATTCTGGATGTCATGATGAGTGACAGCATCTACACTTTCGAGGGCGAAAGTCCTTTTGTCGAGAGAGAAGAGAGTCATGAAGATCTATCGAGAGATCTATGGCGATCCGATCTATGACACATATGAAGATGATGTTGATGTTATGACTTCGTTTTCAAAAAGGTTTCTTTGAGAATTTGGTGCGTGCAAAATCCGGCGGCGCAGACAGATTGGTGAAGATTTCGGTTTCGTGCAAAATCCGGTTTGTGCGAAAATCGTGCAGATTCAGATCCGTGCAAATTTCGGGTCTAATCCGGTTCATGCGAAAATCGGACTAGGTGAAAAGAAGGTGAAGATAATTCTGCCAATAGCTCTTATAATGAAAATCCTATTGAAGATTCGAGGACGAATCTTTCTTGGCGGGCGAGACCTGATGCAGCGAGATATTTGGAATATCTCCAAACATCTTCATTATTTATATTTTCTGTATTTAGATAAATAAGTATTATTTACATTTATTATTATTTATGGCTTTTAGGGTTTTTGAGGTTTTCTTATATATAGCCGTCTAGGCTTCATATCGTATTGAGACATTGATTATTAATAAAGAGCTTTGGCTTTTAAGCGAAGAGTATTCTCTGTCCTTGTTTTCAGTAGATCTATCGAGATCTCAACGAGTTCAAAAAGCAGGTCCTAAGTGAGGTTTATATCAAATCCCTTGGTTGAGCTGGCAGGTCCCGATTGATTCCTTTGAATCATAGGTTGAGTTGTGTTTATCTTAGCTTCCGCTACGTCACTAGTTATATTTCAGGGTGGAACGGAAAAAACGAAAAAAACATGATGAGAGAGGACAAGACAAAAATGTTGGACGGGACAAAAGGAAAAGAAATGAAAAGTGACGGGATTGGACGGGACGAGATGAAAAAGGACATAATGGGACGGGAAGGGACAAAACAATAATTTTACCTACCCTTAATTATGTTTAGTGCCGAGACAGAGATAAAACAAAATGGAAAGGAACATAATAAGATATGATGGGCCTGGATGGGCCGGACAGAACGAACCGGATGGGAAAGAACATGACAAGATGAAAAGGAAAGGAATGGAAATAGAATTATGTATACCCGTAATTATATTTAGGGAACGAGACGAGAATAAAAAAAATGGAAAGAATCATAATGGGATAGGATGGGACTGAACGGGACTGGGACATGCAGGACAAACAGGACGGGGACATGTAGGACAAACGGGACGGGAACATGCAGTACAAACGGGACGGGAAAAAACGTACATGATAAAAATAAACGAAATGGGATGAGATGGAACAAGATGGTACAAACGTTTTGCCTAACTCTAATTATATTTAAGTAATATGTGTATAATATCTTTGAAACAATTTAAATTGCGGAAAAACAATAAAATTATCACAATCCGCGCTTAGCGCGGATTATCCCCTAATTTTATATAATACACAAGTCTTCTGATTGTTTAAGTTTAAGGCCTATCAGTGTGTATTGTTTTCAGCTCATGCTGGCTATGGTTTGAATTAATAATTTTTTCGAAGCTCTTTTTCCTTATTATTACGACCGCGTTATTTTTATATAAATGTTTCTACAATTTCAGTATAAAAAATATGATGATATAATCTTTGCAGTGTATTTGGCTGATAAGATGTATCTAATAATACTTGATTTTATAAATTTAAATACAATCTGAATACGTAGTATATGTTATCCCAAATAGGTAGGAGCCCACGTGATTCGCGAAATTGTGTTTTTACGCAGATTATATAAATTTGGTTATACTGATTTCTATTGAAGAAATATTTACATTTACTTTTACTAATTTTTTATTACTATTTTTCATATAGTAGGGTAGATTAAAACTGTGATGGTGTTATTTAATGATTTGGTAATGTGTATTTAGATCACCATTATTCATTTGAAACCTAAAGATAATAATTGTAATATCCGTAAACAAAACAAAAGATTTGGGAAAATTCGGTTGTATCGTGCGACACAAGTAAATTGTGTCGGTCGACACAACGATTGCAAATTGGACCCGGTTTAATTTCAGTTGGTTTGGGCCGGTTTGGGATCAGGGAAACCCTAATTCTCGTTTTAAAAGACGCAGCCGTCGAGGGGAAGAGTCTTTTTGTCGTTTTCTGAAGTTCTTGAGGAGAAGGAGGCGATTTCGAGAGATTTGTGAAGTTTATGGGTCGGATCGAAGTCCGATCGTGCTGTTCTTCGTCGTTTCTCTCATCCCTCTATGTTTCAATCCGATTTGAGGTGAGTGCATGACTGTGGGTTCGGAATTAGCTAGATTCGGATTTGATTGAGGTTGTTCTTGTTGTGTTCATGTGAAAATCGGATTATAAGATGTTGTTTGGGTGTTTTGCTTGATTGATTCTGTGTTTCGGGTTGTTTCATCGAATATGGCATCGACATGACAGATGTGTGTCGAGAGACACAAAGTGGTCTGTGTTGACTGACACAAAGCGTGTGTCGCTCGATACAGCCGGTCCGATCCGGTCCGATTGGAAATTAATTGGCAGTTTAAATTAAATTGATTCCTGGTTTGGTTTGATTAACTGGTTTTTCGGATTTAATTAATTAAAGAGTTATTTAATTAATTAAATGGCTTAAAATAATGATTTAATTATTCTAAAATATGGAAAATTATTATTTAATTAGAGAATTATTTAATAATTGAGAAATTGTATTTTATGGTATTTGAATAATTATGGAGAATTATAATTATTACTTAATTGCTAGTAAATTGTGTAATTGACCCGTAGGTAGGGTGATTGTCTCACTAACTTACGCATCTCTTTCGCAATGTGATTCAAGTAAAAGATTTGTGTGAGTGTCAGTCAACCTTAATGACCAAACAAAAGTGGACACCTATGCTTCTCATAAGCATTAGGAGAGGCTCTTTGTAGCCTTCTAATGTACTTGCATTTTACATAGTTTTAGCACATCTTTTATGCATCTTTTGCATAGTTTTAGCTTCCATTTGCATCATATCTTGTTCCTTTTCTCTTCTTATGCATTCATGTTAGTTTTAGGTTGCATTTGCATACATATGCATGTTTGGTCCTTTGAAATAGGTCTTTTGGAGCATTCTGGAGCATATGGGACAAGGAGCATGGAGGGACTTGGCACATGGAAGCAGCTCAACTGGATACGCAAAGGAAGAAGGGAGAAGCCATCTTGAAGACCAGCTCGACCGTCTACTCGACCAACCGGTCGAGTTCCTCAACTCGACCGGCCAAGCTTCAACTCGATCGAGCTGAGAAGTCAACAGTCAAACCCGAAAAATGTTGCTTCCCCCTTGACTTTCCTTTGACCCTAAACCTAATCCTCTTGTATTTAAAGGCTCTAAGCCACGAAAAAACCACCAAGCTTTAGATTATTTTGTTTTAGTTTCTTTTAATTTATTGTCTTTTACTTTTTAGAGATCTAATCCCATCTTTGTGTTCTTGAAGCTCTTGCTTCTTGAATCCTAGATCCTGGATAATCTCTTTGTATTTGCACTTGCTTATTTCAATAAAAGTTGTTTAATTTCATCTCCTCTTTCTTATGATGTCTCTTTTATTGCATTTGCTTGTGTTTACATTCATGTGTAGTGAGTAGTTACCCATTAGGGTTTGAGATGGGATAGATTAGAGGTTTCATATGCTTAATCCTTCTAGCTTATGGTCTTAATCTAGATTCTCTCTCTTTTGGATAGATCTTAAGGCTACATGACCACTACCCCTGGCTTGTAAGTCCTTAGGCGACTCCCCACACGAAAGTGATGGCATTCGCTGGAAAAGATCCACTAAGAGCTCCAATATCTCTTGCTCTAGAAATAGAGGTCTAAGGGGTTGGATGGATTAGTTTGGGCAATGATCCTATAGCCTCCAAGGTTTGATTCTCACTGGCTAACCCCCTGTTTCTGAGATCATTCCTTGGTTGATAGCCTCACCTTGGGAAAGGGTTGGCTAGGCATTGAGAAGCCCAATATCAAGAGAAGCCTTGATACAAGGAGTTTTAAGAGCTAGATTGATTAAGTGTAGATTCCTTTGATTGCAAAACCCTGTCTTGAACCCTAATTCTCTCTTATCTTGTTAAAGTCGTCACCTTTAGCTTTGTTTGTCTCAACTCGTCCCTAAACTCGATCGAGCTGGTACTTTGCTCTACTCGACTCGAGTCTTGGTCGAGCTGTACTTCACTGCTTTGTTTACTTTTATTGCACTGCTTTTCATTTATTTAGGTTGTTAGTGTTACTTCAAATCTATACTGCTTGCTTGACTTCCTGGTTGTTTCATATTCTCATAGAGTGACAAGTTTCCCATTTTGGATTGATAACCCTTTGTATACATCAACTATGATGGTTAAAGGGAATTGTTGACTGTGTTTGTGTTTGCATCTTACCACCTCATCATATACCACTGTTGCATTCCATCATCTCATTTCATATCTTTTCACATCCACACACAAATCCTATCATCAATTTGGCGCCGTTGCCGATTTGGGAATATTTTTGTTGCATTTGAGTTTCAAACACACTTGGACGATCAAGCTATACCACCCCTGTTCTATTGTACTGCTGGGTTTTTGTCTCTTTTTGCAGGTGTATGCGAACTCGATCGAGTCGGTCTACAGAAGACTTGGTCGAGCTAGACTTTACAACGGGTAGAAAGAGGGTTCAGAGGTCACAGAGGGTACAAGAGGAACCTGAGGTGCTTGTTGCTGATACAATGGATGTACCAGAGGGGAATGGAAACCCTTTGGGAATGGACTCGGTCGAGCTAGGCAAACTCGACCGATTGGTCAAGGAGATGCTCCAAACCGCCACCAACAGAGACAAGGGATTGTTCCACCACCAGTGCAGAACCACAACTTTGAGATCAAGCTGGGAATGATCAACCTTGTCCAGAACAAGATGTTCCATGGATTGCCAAGTGAAGACCCCATTGACCACCTTGATGAGTTTGATAGGCTTTGTGATTTGACAAAGATCAATGGTGTCTCTGAAGATGCCATCAAGCTGAGACTCTTTCCTATGTCTCTAGCTGACAAAGCTCACCAATGGGAGAAGAGCTTGCCCCATGGCACAATCACCACTTGGGATGAATGCAAGAAGGCCTTTCTTGCTAAGTTTTTCTCCACCGGTCGCACAGCCAAGCTTAGAGGAGAGATATCCAGCTTCATCCAGCGAAACAATGAGACATTCGCAGAGGCTTGGGAGAGGTTCAAAGGCTACACAAGTCAGTGCCCACACCATGGATTCAACAATGAATCACTACTCTCCACTCTTTATAGAGGATGCTTGCCTAGGTATAGGGAGATGCTAGACACAGCTAGCAATGGGAACTTCCTCAACCAGGATGTAGATGATGGCTGGCAACTTGTGGAGAACATAGCTAACTCAAATGGAAGCTATGGAGAAGAGTATGATCGCACCAACCGGAGCTCGACCCACCACTCGATCGAGTCAGACGAAAAGTTGAGAAAAGATGTTAAGGCATTGAATGAGAAGTTGGATAAGCTGATCCTAGCTCAGTCCACAATGAAGAAAGTCAACTTTGTGTCTGCTGAGGAGATGGAACCAGTCCAAGAAGGGGAGGATACACAATTTGCTGAGGTGTGCTACATGAGCAATGGGCAAGGAGGTTACAACAAAGGATACTATAATTACAAGTCCAACCCTGCCATGTCATACCGCAACACTGATGTTGCTAACCCTCAGGACCAAGTCTATCCTCAACAACAAGCAGCTCGATCGAGTCAAGGCCACAACATGGGTATGGTCAAAAGAACAATTACCAAGGACCACAAGGCACTTTCCCTGGACAACAAATGAATATCCCACCAGGCTTCCCCACCAACCGCCCCAGCCTGCACCTTCACAAGAGAATGAGCTCAAGGCAATGCTAAAGCAACTACTTCAAGGGCAAGCTGATGGGGTAGTGGACACAAGCAAGAAGCTAGCTGAAATAAACTCTAAGATCGAGAACCTCAACACAAGGGTTTACTCTCTGGAGAATCATGCTTCTTCTGTTGCTGCTGCTACAAAGCAAGGACAACTACCTGGTAAAGCTATTCAGAACCCCAAGGAACAGTGCAAGGTCATCTTCACTCAAGAAGGACTTGTTGAAGAAGAGGATCAAGAAAGGGTCATTGAAGATTTTTGTTTACTGCTGAATGATGAAGAGATTGTTGCTGCTGAGGCTCCTGGAGTCCAGATTGATCAACCAGAAGTGCAGGCACCTACTGTGGCCATTCACACTTCACCAGTTGAGCTCGCACACAAGCTCGATCGGCAGCTCGATCGAGTCCAACTCTAGCTCGATCGAGTCCGACCTCTTCTGTCCCAAACCATTTTGCTTGATCCTTACCAACCGGTTGCCGCTTCCTCGTCTCGCCTACTTAGTCAAGGTCACAAGGAAGTGATTCACAAGTTCAGAAGAGATCTCAGTGGGATTGGAATTGAGTTGCCTCTATGGATAGCATGAGTGAGGCATTTGATCAAATGCAAATGGTCAAGGATGTTCTAGCCAACAGTGATAAAGTTTCAGAGGTCCTACAAGAGTCTACTCATCAGTTCAACCTGCTTACTTCACCCACCTTCCTACCAAAGGTCAAGGATCAAGGGAAATTCACTCTCCCTTGCACACTTGGGCATCTTGAGATTGACAATGCCTTAGTGGATTCTGGAGCAAGCATCAATCTGATCTCTCTCTCCATGGCAGAGAAGCTAGGCATTGCTGGAGCCTTGCAGCGCCCTACTACTTCAATCATGTTTGGAGATGCAACTTCTAAGTCTCCTCTTGGAGTGTTCAAGAACTATCACTTGAAAATTGGAGAATGCATCATCCAAACTGATCTCACTGTGATGGAAATGGAAGAAGAGAAGGATTTGCCTTGTTATTGGGAACCCCTTTCCTTAGTACAGTTGGCGCTTCAATAGACCACGAGCTGATCGCCATGTCCAAGCCCCTTGTGTGCTTGATGAAGAAAGCCTTCAAGCTTTGTTTGATGAGCCACTAGGAAGGGCTCTAAAAGAAGGGGAGGATGCAGCCTCTAAGGCACCAGTTGGGATAAAAGAAAAGATCCACCAGCTCAGGCCCCTTCATCAAGCCATCTCAGCTCACAATGACTTTGTTCCCCACCAAGTTTGAAAATGGGAAGATTGAGTACAAGATAAGGTACAAGGGGAGATCAAGGCCATTCTCTAGAGCCAAAGCCTTGGTGACTTCAGAACAATCCAGGGACCAACCAAGCTAAAGGAGCTTCTGTCTCAAGTCCTCACTATCACCCTTGATGGTGGGACTAGCTCAACCAATGCCTAAGAAGGTAAAGGTCAAGCTATGGGACCTTAAACAAGCTCACTTGGGAGGAAGTCCCATGTTTATCCTTGTACATACTTCTATTTATGCAATTTCTATCTATATGTTTTTAACCTTTGAATAAGTTAAGTTTAGGTGTCAAGAGAGCCAGCTCGACCGACAGCTCGATCGAGCTAGAAACCAGGGCAACTCGATCGAGCTACACAACTCGACCGAGGTAAGTTTTTGAATTTCAAATTCATAACCGTTTTCTTGGTCAAGGGAGTGGGTCCCACAAGCTGATTTTGGTCCCCCACTACCCTAATTTGATCAGAGAATCCCTAGCTTCTTGTTCCCTCTTTATTCATCTTTTAATCTCAACCACACATCTCAAACACCCCTCTTCCCCATAACTCGATCGAATTCCCCTCTCTCTCTCCCACAATCTTAAAATTTCTGAAACCATCCATCTCTCTCTTCACCACAAGAAATTTTCGAATTCAATCTTTCTCTCTTAAGTTTTTGCGATTTCTCCTTGTTCTTCAATTGTTTTGCTTGGGTTTTGTTTACTGCTCTTCAATTCCTCATTCAACAAGGTATGAACCCTAAAACCCTTCATTCATCCATCTCGATTTCAACTATTGCTTGTTTCCCCTTTGATTTTTGATTGCATGTGTCCCTTGTGGACTTGTTCTTGAGTAATTGCCCTCATATTTCGCCTCTGCTGTATAGTCTTGTTAGTTTGTTTCACCTCACCTCTGTTTTGCCTTTAAACTTGTTGCATGTGCTTGAAAGTTGAATTTGAGTTTGGTTTGGTTAAGATGCTTAGTACTTCTCTATAGTTGCTCATTGTTCCATTTACTAGTTGTTCTTGGTTCAATTTGATTGATTAGCATCCTTTCCAGCTCTTAATCTTGAATTAGGTTTGGTTATACTCTGTTTTCACCCAACTCGATCGAGTCGATCGAGTTTGTCACTCGAGTTTTTTGACTCGATCGAGCTGAGTGTCGAGTTGACCAAACCGATCATTACAACTCTAATTCTTTGTAATCTTTGATGCATTTCAGGTACTTTAGTGAAGAAACAGAGTAACAAGGATGACAAACAGTGAGGGAAGCCGCGCTTCACAGAGGAGAATGGTTGAGGGTGAATCAAGCAATGCAAGGGAAAGAAGGCTTAAGTTGCAAGCCGATTTGAAGAGGATGGAAGAATCTGATGCAGAGGATATGTCTACTCTGAGGAACAGTCTGAGAGTGAGAGATTGAGGGAAGAAAGGAGAACCAAGAAGAGGAATGACCCTATTAGTAGTGAGAGTGAGCAAGGAGAGTTTGAGATTGGAGTGAACCTTGTTCAAGAGGAGGGAAATGGTTCTCCAAATGAGGAAGACAGTGAGGAAACTGAGAGTGAAGAGGAAGGAGAAGAGGTGAACCAATTGGTTGATGAAGATGACCAAGAGGGGAACCAAGATGAGCCAATGGAAGAGGCTGAGGCAGAGCAAGAGGAGGATGAGCTCCCCATGTACCAAGAGCACTACAATGCTCTCTTCTCCATGGACTTTGTGGAGACCAAGTACCCACATGATGACACCATGAGAGATCTTGGGATCTTTGAGGATGTGGAGTTGGTGCTCAAGAACATGCAATTGGGGAAGTTCTTCTCTCACCGCATGGAGTCTTACAAGGAGTTGACTTGTGAGTTTTTGGCGTCGATGAGCATCACGAGTTTGATGAGCTCGATCGAGCTGAGTTGGACCAAGGCTGGGGGTACATAACTTTCTTGGCAAAGGGAGAGAAGAAGATGGTGACCTTTAGGCAGCTTGAGATACTGTTTGGGTTCACTATGGAGAAGGTAACCTATGGAACATCAAGGAAAAGAACTCCAAAGAGTGGGCTACAATAGCTGAAGAGGGGTACTCTTCCTCAAGGTCCAAGGCTGCCCAGATCAGAAGCCCAGTGCTTAGAGATGTCCACAAGGCTCTTGCCAACACCTTCTTTGCAAGGAAAGCCACTGGGACAATCAATGAGGGAGAAGTGAAGCTCCTTGACATGGGAATCAAGCCCATCATCTCACGCACAAGGGATGGGAAGAAGATCAGAGGAGATAGGGCACACGCAGGGAACTCATGCCTCTCCTTGAGCAGCTCCACCTACAAGGTCACAGCTTACAACACTAGGCACCAAAGAGGAAGAAAGCTTAAGTGTTGGAGGGGTGATCACACCAATTCTTTGTGCAGCTGGAGTCAAGTGGACAAGAGAAGGTCTACTCCACCAGGTTGGATGGACATCAAGTTTTGCAAGACCAACCTCTCATTGAGCACAAGGAGTTGGATGGGAGATTCCAATTCAAGTTCACCATCCATTGGCTGGACCCTCCAAGCTTCTTCTGCCCAACCCTGAGCTCACCACGGTCAGGAGGTAGAAACATTGACTTCAGACCCCCTGTGTACACTTAGTTGGGCATGAAGGATGATTTGCGAGAAGAAGAGTGAGCTCGATCGAGCTGAGGATCGAGCTGAGACTCAAGCTGAAGATGGAGTGAGAAGTGATTTGGGTGAGCCTGAGTGCTATTACTTTGAGGAGTATGAGGCTCCAAGGATGAACCCCTCTGTTGTGGCTGCCACAAGAGGATTGGACTTCTCCAAAAGTTCAACAAGTGGCAAGGGAAAGCCATGAGAAAGATGCAAAAGTCCATGGACAAGATGGTGAGCAAGATCAAGAAGTTTGGAGAAGAAGGTTTCTGGTTCTTCAAGCAAGAAGAAGAAGTCACCCAAGGCCCCCACTTCCCTAGGAGTAGGTCACTCCTCACCACTCCAAGGAGGCTCCCTGCCCAAGAGCCTCACAGAGCCTCTTCTTTCGAGCCAAGAGAAGGAGAGGACAACACGCAGAGAAGGAGGAAGACGTCCAAGGCCAGACGCTCCAGCTCGACCACCGGACTCGATCGAGTCCAAACAGAGGAAACTCAACTCGATCGAGCTGAGGGTCGAGTTGACCTGGAGGAGCCCCTGTTTGAGAATCCTGGATTCGAGTACGATCAAACGCAGTACCAGGACTTCTCCCAGACCAACTGGACCCCTACAACAGCTTCGAGCAAGCACAGCTCCTCCAAGGCCAAGGGAGCCACACACATTTCGAGATGAAGAAGAGGAGGAAGAGGAGCCGCAAGCTCGATCGAGTGAGCCACAAGAGGCAACCCCAGTTGATGGAGTGCTCCTGATGGCCGTCTCCCATCTCCAGACCACGACCTAGTCTCCCAGTTCTTTGGGGGACACTGAGGTATCCAAACACCAACCCTTGTATATACCATTTCATATTTTCTTGCATTTGTTCTTGTTTTTTCTTGGTTTTGCCCTCTTGAATCTTTCACTAAATTTTTCTCACACAAGGGACTGTGTGATTTAAGTTTGGGGGAGGGTTCAAGAGATGATTTAACCTTGTTTTCTTTGTTCTTAGTTTTTCATTTATCTTTTGCATAGAAAAACCAAAAAAATCATAAAATTTTCAAAAAATCCAAAAATATTTTCATCTTTTTGCATTCATATTTGTTAGACTTGTTTAGGATTGCATTTTTCACTTGCATTGTTGATTTGACTTTGAAAACTTGTCCATCTTTTGCGATTTCTTGAGTGCCCTGTTTTTAGATTCTTTTGTGCATTAGGGTGAGATTGATTGAGCAGCAAGAACCATGTTTATCTTGATCATATCACTGCATGCACATCTCATTCAACCATTGCTGTGATTTGATGCATTTCCCTATCTATTTGAACCATAACTTGATCTTTAATTACCAATGCTTGCATTTGATTTCAACTCATGGCTACCACATACATATCTGGACATTCTTTACCTATTTTCATATCCCTTTGCTTGTCCAGATAGCTGATCTCTATCTTTGAGACAGTTACCACACCTTAAACCTAAGCCTTTTCATTTCAAACCCCATATTATCTCTTGTGCGAATGTGAGAACCTTTCTTGGCTTTGCTTAGCATAAGGTGTTGTGTTTAAACCGGCAGGGGCAGTAGTTCTAGTTGTCTAGTTCTCTTGGGATTGTTTTCAGGCTAAGTTTGGGGGTGCCAACTCGAGCTCGATCGAGTTGGGTGTAAAAACCAGAAAAGTGGTAAAAGTTGGGAAAAACCAAAGGAAAAAGAGTTTAGTTAAGTCCAGGGAGTTGGCAGTGTTAAAAAGGGTCTAGTAAAGGTTTGGGAAGTTAAAAAAGGAAGTAAAAAGGGTTCTAAGTAGAATGAAAAGAAGGCAAAGCCTCAAGTGTCAAAAAGGAAAGAAAAGTTCCCTAAGTGTTTAGAAAATCCCAAACCGCTAGATGTTACCTCAAGAAGCCTCTCCCTAGGAAGTTCTTAAAAGAAAAGTGAGCAAAGCTCCTCAGTTTCAAAGGCGAAATGCCAAAAAGGGTAGTTAGGATTTTGTTCTAAAAAGCTCTAAGTGTTGAACTCGATCGAGTTAGGATTAGGCGGCTCGAGCTGCTGTTCTTGCATCATCTTTGGTTCTAACACTTAGCCTTCTGCCAAAGCAAAGCCACTTTCTTGAGAGATCCCTGTTACTAAACCACCATACAAAAGAGACCCTCTTTGTCTCTTAACCCATAAACCCTTGAAACCAAATGAGTTGATTGATCTTGCATGTTTTTGGTTCACTGTTTTTGCTTAATGAATGTTAAAGGGATTTGCTGATTTGAATGCATTGTTTGAGTGACTGTGAAGTGGGATTGATGTTGATAAGCATGGTTAAATCTTAATGAATATCTCTCACCTTGTTGCATTCTAGAATCTCTAAGTTGGACATTTAGCAAATCGCTTTTGAGGACATGTTTTTAAGTGTTGGATTGATCGCGGGTTTAGATTGCCTCAAATTTTCACAATTTATAAACCCAACTAATGAGCTGCAAGTGCACAGCCGTGTTGTAGTCGGGGTCGAACACGAGGAGGAAGTGTTCTCGCTTAACACCTTGTGAGATCGGTTTGTAGCTAGCTCGCAATATGAGGTGGTTTTGGACCTAGAATGAGAAAACAAAACAAAAGAAATGTGAATGAGTTTGTAAACAATTTAAAACAAGAGTTAGGCAAAGGACAATCATATGGAGCAATGATGAAAAGATAGTTGCATGGGATGTGTGTAGAGCCGTCTTGAACATGAATCACTAGTGTATGGTTTTCCACTGTCGTGGCTCCAACCACTATGTTTAAACAACCTAATATACTCAGCTTTCGTTGGCTATTAGAATTGCAAACATGCATTACAAGGTTCAAGATTCAATTGTTCACAATAAACCATAACTCAGCTTTCGTTGGCTATGATCTATTGCTCACCAAATACTAGTTTTGAGATCTAGATTCAGCACTGTCGTGGTTCTATTTCTCTAAGATCAGATTACTAGATGTACGGTAGAGTAATCATGCATTAAGCTCAAGTAAAGGTGAAGATCCATAAGATAAATCCCAATTAGTTGCAACACAATCAAATCATCACGGCCACCATAGATCTCCTCGGCCTAACTAAGAGATCTACTCGGCCATGATGCAAACAAGCAAGCAAAGCATGATTGTAAACATTATGCAAGTATTAAAAGAGATAAAGGGATGAAGAAAGCTTCTCTATTGATGAACAAAGTCGGATTCTCCCTTGAAAACTCTTAAGATCAAGTTTATAGAAATGGAAACAATGAAAAAGAAAGAACAAGAGTTGAGCGGCGCCTCCTTCTTCTTGGACGATCTCCTAGGGCTTCTCTTCTCTTCTCTCTCTCTCACACGTGAACTCTTTGGTAATTTTCGGACTGGACTCGATCGGATTCTCTTCTTCAGCGGCTAAAAACATGTATATATGGGCGAAGTCGCGTAGGGTTTTCTTCATGCAAAAAAGGAAAGTTTCCATGCGAGCCTTCTTCTCCACGTCGTGTATGGGCCGACATTGTACCAAGGAAAGCTCCAAACATTAGCCAGGCCTCTTCTCTATTCGATCAAGGCCTTTGGCGCTGCTGCTCGGGCCATTAGACACTCCAAATCCTCCATGGGCTTCGTTTACTCGCTTACCGGACATGTCTCGGTAGAAAATAAGTCTAGGCCTCATAGTTGATCCAAATGGCTTCATTCCACTTCGACGTGATGCATGACTCAAGTATCTATCTTTCCATATCAAGATCGTAACTTTTGGACGTCGGGAACTCCTCCGCGCGCGGCCAAACTTCCGAAGCTTCGTTCTGCGCGCAAGCGAGAACTAACACTTGGAGATAAAATGATCTTCTTGACTTGGAAACTTGCATGGATCTTGATTTAGGGCTCTTTTACTCCTTTTTGCATCCTTTTTGATTATTTCACCTACAAAGACTTCAAATCCCACAAATACAAGAAAACTACCTCTAAAGGCAAAGAATCTTGCAAAAACCGTTTGAAAACATAGGTAAATATATAGTAAAATCATGTAAAATATGGTGATATCAACTCCCCCAGACTTAGCCTTTTGCTTGTCCCCAAGCAAACTAAGCAGGAAAAGAGGTTTGAAAACGTGAGAACTCTCAAATCTTTTGGAAATCCAAATTGACTTATGCTTTAGTAATCCACATGAAACAGCATTGGCAAGTTTTGAATTAAGAACAAAGTACATACCATGAGTTTTGCGATTTTCCCAAAGCGGTCCACCTCTCCTTGGACAATCCAATTCGCCACCCTTGACTCCTTTCATTTCTAAAGGTGTGGTCTCAACTAGGGAGTATCGATCAGCCGGCTTTAGATTCTTTCTCATCCCCTTGTTTGGCACTTGTCTTTTTCTCCATGTTTCTCCTCTCTCTCTTCTCACTTCTTTGAGTTGATTCATCCCTTTTTTAGGGTAGCGAAGTATTTTTTTATTCAACTCCTTCTCTTTATTATAGAGGTTTTGCTTGGATCTTCCACAGACGCGAGTATTGATGGTGTTTGCCACCGAATCCCCGGTTGCTTGGATTCATAGGCCTTCCATAGACGCGAGTATTGATGGTGTTTGCCACCGAATCCCCGGTTACTTGGACCTTACGCTTTTTCTTTAATTTGAAGGGGAGAGAGAGGGAAGCACGAACTCACTAAGACTTTTTCATTTGATGGAGAGGATGAGGAATCATGCCATTTGTATGCCAAGCCCCTAGCTGAGAAGATTAAGTTCATTAAGGGCGGAGTCAAAGATGGATCCTTCTCAAGTCTTTAGAGATGTAGGCGTTTTTGGTAGATCGATCAACTCATAGTGCACCTGTGGTAAGATGTATTGCCAAGAACTGCTCAATGGTCACTTAAACATTAGTACAACCATGGTTAGATCCAAGATAAGGTCATGATTCTCGACAAAAATTTTGACTCAATAAAAACGACTCGATAAAAAGGGAAAAATGCAAATGAAATGCCAAAATGAACAAACATTGTTAGTAATCCCCCCAGACTTAACTTGCACCGTCCCGGTGAAATCAAATCGGATTAAGAGAGGCATAACATGAAGTTCAAATGAAAAATTGAAAAGAAAAAGGTTTAGGATGATGTTACCAAATGTCGACCACTTTATAATGAAGATCAGTTCCGGTTTGGGTCATTCTACACTTCTTTAGGCAATATTGGTCGGTGAGTTTTTAATTTCAGGCCTTGGTTTCCGCCGGTTTGTGTTTTGGCCGAGATTGGTATATTCGGTCGGCCAAAATGTGGTGCTGTGAACTACAGAACAAACCGTCAAAAATTTCATGACCTATATTGAAATTTCATCGACCAACCTGGTATTTTAGAGCCTCTGGTGAAGTTTGGGAGCATTCGTACGAGCGGATTGAGACTTCCTTCACAAAACGGTCAAGTCGGCTCCGGGAAGGAGTTTCCTTGGCCATGTGAGTTTGGCTCGTTCCTTTTCGTTTCTTCCTGCATAAAAGTGTTAGTTAAGCTCAAAGAAGAGTTTTCCAACCGGTTGGCGCGCCTATGCCGTGATTTGGTTTTGTCGGCCATATTTCTTGCGCGCCATCGGCCAGAATGAGGCTCCGTCGTCTATCTCATGATCCGTGATGATTTCTCCGTCCTATCTTTTGGATTTGCCGACCAAAATGTGATTTTATGGTCGCCTGTGAAGTTTGGTGGACTTTGGTCACGCCGTTTAGGAGTTGGCCGTAGTTAGGCTTCCTTGTGCGCGGTATGGCCGAGAGAAATGTACTGGATTGAATTTCTTCGAATCCACTTGGGCCAATTGAGATTTTCTTCGATCGAATTGTTTTAATAACCCTCCTGTGTCATTCCCAAGTGGTGGCCGCCTTGTTTCGTGTGATGGCCTATGTATCTCCTTTTAACCTCCCTTTGGCCGCCATATGCATGTTGGTTTTAGGTGGTTATAGGTTTGCTCTTTATTTCTCCTTCCTGTCAAATGGTTAACACCTTGCAAAACACTTGAAATCATGATTAGATGGTTTCTCAGATTGTGATCCTCAAGTGACCAACTTGAAGTTCACAATCCAAGAGATTAAAGCACAAACTATAAATTCTTATTTGGTCTTGGTTAATGATCCAAATTTCAAACTATAGTTCAATCTCTTGTAATTTCAGTGAGCAGAAATGAGTTTTGACAAGTGATTATGTATTCTTTCCAATCATCAAAAGTAAATCAAGTTAAACCATGAGATATATTTGATAAAGTGCAATGGTTTAAACGATTTTTCAAGTGAAGATCAAGAGTGATTAGAAATGAATACTAGGTGAGAGTTTACTTACCTTTTGGAAGAGAAACGCCTTGTACAAGGGTGGGCTCATTGGGTGGGACACTTCCATTGTTTGGTCTCCTTTGGGTCTTCATCCTAAGAAAATATTTTTGTATTTTTGTTTGATTTTTGAAAAACTCCTGCAAAATAGAAATAGATAGTTAAAAACCATATGGGTTGCCTCCCATAAAGCGCTTTTGTTTTAAGTCATTTAGCTTGACTCCTTTTCTTTCTTTCAATCGTGGTGAAGAGTGGCTGAAGGGCAAAGGATCCCTTTAGCTTCTCCATTCTCCGGTGTAGTGGATTCTTGTGGTGGTGTTGTCGCGCCATAGTCATCTCTCACATCATCTTTGAAAACCAATGCCTTGGGGAAAAGCTTCATAGTTCTCTCAAGCTTCTCTTCAATGGATTGGTCACCTTTAAGCTCCGAATCTTTTGGTGTAAAGATTCTTATCTTGTGAAAGAGATTAGGTGCACCATTAGTCTCCTCTTCAGCTCCATATTCATCAAAGGTTGGAAGTAAGATGGAGTTGATGTCCTTAAAGACATTTTCATGCCTCGGCTCCAATGTTTTCTTCTTCTCCTTTGGTTTTGGGTAGCGCTCACTCTCTCTTCTTTCTCCATGCAGCATATCCTTCTTTCTTGGTAATGAGAGTGGCTTCTTCTGGTGGTAGCTTGGTCGCACTTGGCACTGACCTGAAATTTACACTTGGGAAAAAGATATCTTGCCGGATGTGGCCAAAAGATAGATGATTCCCAAAGTAGTTTAGGACCGCTCCAGCTGTAGCAAGGAATGGGGTTCCAAGAATCAGTTGATTCCTCTTTGAGCCTTCCCAAATCATGACTTGAAAGTCAGTTGGGACCGATCGACCCCCTATTTCCATCATGACATCTTCAAGCATTCCATAAGGTTCCATGCACGATAGGTCCGCGAACTCGACTCTTATCTTGGGGCTCTTGAATTCCTTGAATCCCAAATCTTTTGCAAGTGCAAGAGACATTAGATTAACATTAGCACCAGTATCACATAGGCAATCGTGGAGTTGAATGCCATTGATACTTGAAGTTATCACAAACTTCCCCGGATCTTCTTGTTTTTGTAGTGGCTTGCCTTCAAGTCTTCTCTTGTAAGCTCTTCTTGATTCCCAACTGTATCTCTCCGGTTTGTGCCTCTCCTTAGGCTCATTTTCTTCTTCTTCCCCTTGAGATAGTGTAGGAACAATAGTGCCATCTATAGATGAGACAACACTACAAAATTTTTGAGTGTTTACCTCATTTTGTTTCTTGGCCGCCTCGGCTGTTTGAGCGATTTGCACCTCAAGCTTTTGAACGTGAGTAGAGAGAGACCCAAACTTGCTGCTTAGATCACCAAACATGTGATCAAGCTTCTCATATAGGTTCTTGGTGATCAATCTCTGCTCCTCCATGTATTTCTTCAAAGCCACGTCAACTTCTCTCCGGTTTGGGTTGGATTTGTTTCTTGAGAAAAAGTGAATGGTTGCTTCACTTGGTACATCCCTCTTGGATAGACTTGTTGTGGCTTGGATTGGTATTGGCCTCCTTGATACGCTCCTTGATTGGGGTAGACTTGGTCATTTGGATTCTCCACATTGTTGCTCCGGTATGATAGGTTTGGATGCGCGCGAAATGGTGGATTGAATCCTCTATTCCCATAGTTTCCTCCAATGTAGTTGACTTCCTCTAGATTCTCTTCAGCGCCATCTCTCATGAAATCCATAAGAGTGTCTTCATTTGTGGCTAGGGCATCTTCAATGGCGTGAACTCCTTGTCGGCTTTTGAGTAGTTGTGAAACCATGTTCCTTAGCTCCGAGATTTGAGCTGATTCTGATGAGCTCGTGGTCTTCACGCCTCTATTGTAGTCAGGGCACGCATTGGCATCACTAGCAGCGAGATTCTCAATCAAAAGCTTAGCCTCCGGCACCGACTTGGTCATGAAATTACCATTGCTCGCGGTATCGAGAGAAAGCTTGTATTTATGATCAATCCCATTGTAAAAGATGTTCCAAAGGTTACCTTCTGAAAAGCCATGGTTAGGGCAGCTTCTTGTGTACTCCTTGAATCTCTCCAAAGCTTCATAGAATGACTCCATTGAATCTTGCTTGAAACCAGAAATCTTGCTCCTTATAGAGTTGGATCTTTGCTTAGTGTAGAATTGGTTCAAGAAAGCTCCCTTGTATTCATTCCATGTTTCTTGAACCTTCCTGGAAAAGGTAGAGGTGGTTTGTACGGAGGTGGTCCTGATGGGGTGTCCTTCTTCTTTGCAACAGGTTTAGTTGGTTGGCTAGAACTTGCTTTGTCTCTTTGCTTCTTGCCTTGATCGAGTTCCGGTTTGTCTTGCTGAGTTTCAGTTTCCTCAGCTTGATCGAGCTTTGGTTCAGTGTTTTGTTCCGGCTCGATCGAGTTAGGTGTTGGGATGTCAGCATACTCGACCAAATCCTCCCCTTCCTCGTCATCGATGTCCACATCGATTTGGGTGGACCACTCCTGCTAGA